TCAACAAAATTTGTTGATAACATCTCACCCACTCTCTCATTTGCTCTCTTTTTACATTGCTTCACCACCCTCTTAACCTCTCTTTTTCTCCATATACTCTTTCCTCCTTGCATCACTTCTACTTTGTAAAAACTTCTCATATGCTAACTTTTTCTCCCTTACTACTCTCTTTACATCATCATTCCACCAATCGCTCCTCTTCCCTCCCGCACCCACTTTCCTGTAACCACAAACTTCTGCTGAACACTCTAACACTACATTTTTAAACCTACCCCATACCTCTTCGACACCATTGCCTATGCTCTCATTAGCCCATCTATCCTCCAATAGCTGTTTATATCTTACCCTAACTGCCTCCTCTTTTAGTTTATAAACCTTCACCTCTCTCTTCCCTGATGCTTCTATTCTCCTTGTATCCCATTTACCTTTTACTCTCAGTGTAGCTACAACTAAAAAGTGATCTGATATATCTGTGGCCCCTCTATAAACATGTACATCCTGAAGTCTACTCAACAGTCTTTTATCTACCAATACATAATCACAACAAAACTACTTCATATATATAATATATAATATATATATTATATATATATATTTTATATATTATATAATATATATATATATAATAATATATATAAATATATATATATATATATATATAGTCATGTGTGTGTGTACGTGTGTATTTTAGAAATCACCCAAACTCTAATGTAACACTTTTATTGAAAGGTGAGGGGAAGGTGCGAGAGTTGTAAATAGGTGAGGGGAAGGTGCGAGAGTTGTAACAGTGTGACTGGAAGGTGCGAGAGGTGTAAACAGGTGAAGGGAAGGTGCGAGAGTTGTAAACAGGTGGTGAGGGAAAGGTGCGAGAGGTGTGAACGGGTGGTGAGGGGGTAAATACGTCTTAATGTAGTCTCGGAAGATGACATGACACTCAGAATAGTCTTGAGGATTAACATGCCAATCAGGGTAGTGAAAAGCGCTGGGATCTGAACGCTGGGATCTGGACGATCTGATCTAAACACTGGGATCTGAACACTCGGATCTGAACACTGGGATCTGTACACTGGGATCTGAACGCTGGGATCTGAACGCTGGGATCTGAACGCTGGGATCTGAACGCTGGGATCTGAACGCTGGGATCTGAACGCTGGGATCTAAACACTGGGATCTGAACGCTGGGATCTCAACGCTGGGATCTGAACGCTGGGATCTAAACACTGGGATCTGAACGCTGGGATCTGAACGCTGGGATCTGAACGCTGGGATCTGAACGCTGGGATCTGAACGCTGGGATCTGAACGCTGGGATCTGAACGTTGGGAGCTGAACGCTGGGATCTGAACGCTGGGATCTGAATGCTGGGATCTGAACGCTGGGATCTGAAACGTCTGGGACCTGAACGCTGGATCTGAACGCTGGATCTGACGCTGGGACCTGAACGCTGGGACCTGAACGCTGGGACTTGAACGCTGGGATCTGAACGCTGGGATCTGAACGCTGGGATCTGAACGCTGGGATCTGAACGCTGGGACCTGAACGCTGGGATCTGAACGCTGGGATCTGAACGCACTCTCCGTGCGTTTACCTTCATCGTTGACAAATTTAAGTTGTTTGTATACATGTTGGTAGAAAATAACGAATCAGACAAACATAGTTTACCCTCGACAGGGACACATTTCGCCCACTGTGGCGCCCTGTCAGAGCATGTCAGCAGTCGAAACGTACCTCGGGAAAAGGCAGTATTTGCTTACATATTGATTCTTTCTAAGATATTATAGCTTTTGTGTCAGATACGATAGCTTTTGTGTCAGATATTATAGCTTTTGTGTCAGATATGATAGCTTTTGTGTCAGATATGATAGCTTCTGTGTCAGATATGATAGCTTTTGTGTCAGATATGATAGCTTTTGTGTCAGTTATGATAGCTTTTGTCAGTTATGATAGCTTTTGTGTCAGATATTATAGCTTTTTGTATCAATTATGATAGCTTTTGTGTCAGATATGATAGCTTTTGTGTCAGATATGATAGCTTTTGTGTCAGTTATGATAGTTTTTGTGTCAGTTATGATAGCTTTTGTCAGATATGATAGCTTTTGTGTCAGATATGATAGCTTGTGTGTCAGATATGATAGCTTCTGTGTCAGATATGATAGCTTCTGTGTCAGATATGATAGCTTCTGTGTCAGATATGATAGCTTCTGTGTCATATATGATAGCTTTTGTCAGATATGATAGCTTTTGTGTCAGATATGATAGCTTTTGTGTCAGATATGATAGCTTTTGTGTATCAGATATGATAGCTTTTGTGTCAGATATGATAGCTTTTGTGTCAGTTATGATAGCTTTTGTCAGATATTGATAGCTTTTGTGTCAGATATGATAGCTTTTGTGTCAGATATGATAGCTTTTGTGTCAGATATGATTGCTTTTGTGTCATATGATAGCTTTTGTGTCAGTTACGATAGCTTTCGTGTCAGTTATGATAGCTTTTGTCAGATATGATAGCTTTTGTGTCAGATATGATAGCTTCTGTGTCAGATATGATAGCTTCTGTGTCAGATATGATAGCTTCTGTGTCAGATATGATAGCTTCTGTGTCAGATATAGCTTTTGTGTCAGATATAATAGCTTTTTTCAGATATTGATAGCTTTTGTGTCAGATATGATAGCTTCTGTATCAGATATGATAGCTTCTGTGTCAAACATGATAGCTTCTGTGTCAGATATGATAGCTTTTGTGTCAGATATGATAGCTTTTGTGTCAGATAGCTTTTGTGTCAGTTATGATAGCTTTTGTCAGATATGATAGCTTTTGTGTCAGATATGATAGCTTCTGTGTCAGATATGATAGCTTCTGTATCAGATATGATAGCTTCTGTGTCAAACATGATAGCTTCTGTGTCAGATATGATAGCTTTTGTGTCAGATATGATAGCTTTTGTGTCAGATATGATAGCTTTTGTGTCAGATAGCTTTTGTGTCAGTTATGATAGCTTTTGTCAGTTATGATAGCTTTTGTGTCAGATATTATAGCTTTTTGTATCAATTATGATAGCTTTTGTGTCAGATATGATAGCTTTTGTGTCAGATATGATAGCTTTTGTGTCAGATATGGTAGCTTTTGTGTCAGTTATGATAGCTTTTGTCAGATATGATAGCTTTTGTGTCAGATATGATAGCTTCTGTGTCAGATATGATAGCTTCTGTGTCAGATATGATAGCTTCTGTGTCAGATATGATAGCTTTTGTGTCAGATATGATAGATTTTTTTCAGATATTGATAGCTTTTGTGTCAGATATGATAGCTTCTGTGTCAGATATGATAGCTTCTGTATCAGATATGATAGCTTCTGTGTCAGATATGATAGCTTCTGTGTCAGATATGATAGCTTCTGTGTCAGATATGATAGCTTTTGTGTCAGATATGATAGCTTTTTTTCAGATATTGATAGCTTTTGTGTCAGATATGATAGCTTCTGTATCAGATATGATAGCTTCTGTGTCAAACATGATAGCTTCTGTGTCAGATAAGATAGCTTCTGTGTCAGATATGATAGCTTTTGTGTCAGATATGATAGCTTTTTTTCAGATATTGATAGCTTTTGTGTCAGATATGATAGCTTCTGTGTCAGATATGATAGCTTCTGTATCAGATATGATAGCTTCTGTGTCAAACATGATAGCTTCTGTGTCAGATATGATAGCTTTTGTCAGATATGATAGCTTTTGTCAGATATGATAGCTTCTGCGTCAGATATGATAGCTTCTGTGTCAGATATGATAGCTTCTGTGTCAGATATGATAGCTTCTGTGTCAGATATACAGTTTTTATAAGCTATAATTATAGTATCAGCTACCATCGTTTTCGTGTAAAATACGTTAACTTTTATATAGAACATTTATTTGCAGCGTTTTCTTAAACGTCGGTGGATTTTTAACATCGCAGGGAAAATCCTGGCTGACGAATAGCGGACGGAGGTTCGAGCCTCCACGTGTCATGCGCCGCGTGACCCTCACGGGATTAAAATTTCCATTTAAGAATGCAATAAAAGGAATGTGGCTGGCAGTGTTTCTGTGTCATTGTTACTCTCAGTTGTACTGGGCATGTGACCTTTTTGAATTAATTAAAAGTTTTTTTTTTTTTTTTTTTTTTGCCGTTTAACGCCGTTGTTTAATGAAGATTGTAAAGTGAATGATGGACTTTGAGAGTAATTCTGGATGACTGTGTTCGCTTGTCTGGATGTTTATGATGGATCTGAGGTGAAACATTGTGTGTGTGTACTCGCCTAATTGTGGTTGCAGGGGTCGATACTCAGCTCCTGGCCCCGCCTCTTCACTGATCGCTACTAGGTCCTCTCTCTGCTCCTTGAGCTTTGTCATACCTCGTCTTAAAGCTATGTATGGTTCCCGCCTCCACTACATCACTTGGTAGACTATTCCACTTCCTGACAACTCTGACTGAAGAAATACTTCCTAATATCCCTTTGACTCATCTGAGTTTTCAGCTTCCAATTGTGACCCCTTGTTTCCGTGTCCCATCTCTGGAATATCCTGTCTCTGTCTACCTTATCTACTCCACGCAGTATTTTGTATGTCGTTATTATGTCGTCCCTGACCCTCCTGTCCCCCAGTGTCGTCAGGCAGATTTCCCTCAACCTTTCTTCGTAGGACATTCCCCTTAGCTCGGGAACTAACCTTGTTGCAAACCTTTGCACTTTCTCTAATTTCTTGATGTGCTTGACCAGGTGTGTCTGTGTCTGTTGTCTGTCTGTGTGATTATCTGTTTGTAGCTACAGAGGCAATATGTATAGATTCGTGTGCGTGTTTGTGTATGAGATTGTCTGTAGGTACCGAAGCAGTGTGTGTGTTTATTTGTAGCTACAGAAGCAATGTGTATAGATTCAGTGTGCGTGTTTGTGTTTATGATTGTCTATAAGTACCGCTCAGAGTGTGTGTCTAGGTTCAGTGTGTCACCCTGTATGTGTTCTCTCCCCACAGGGAAGATGAAGGTTTCATCAAGGAGGAGGAGCGACCACTGCCAGAAAACGAGTTCCAGAGAAAGGTGTGGTTGCTCTTCGAGTACCCGGAGAGTTCGCAGAACGCGCGAGTGGTGGCCATCATCTCAGTCTTCGTTATCCTCCTTTCCATTGTGATCTTTTGCCTTGAGACATTACCGGAGTTTAAGCACTACAAAGTGTTCAATACCACGACCAACGGCACTGTGGTCGAGGAGGATGAAGTGCCGGAAGTCACGGATCCCTTCTTCCTTATAGAGACCATATGTATCGTTTGGTTCTCCACTGAACTATTAGTGAGATTTTTTGCGTCGCCACTCAAAGGAGCGTTTTTGAAAGACGTCATGAACATTATCGATATTGTAGCTATCATTCCTTACTTTATAACCTTGGCGACTGTGGTAGCGGAAGAGGAAGGAGAAGTGATGGTCATCCCGGCTGAAACACTCTCCCCGCACGAGAAGGGGTCAAACCAGGCCATGTCCTTAGCAATCCTACGAGTTATTCGACTGGTCAGAGTATTCAGAATATTCAAATTGTCTCGACACTCCAAAGGGCTGCAGATCTTAGGAAGAACGCTCAAGGCATCCATGAGAGAACTCGGTCTGCTAATATTCTTCCTTTTCATCGGTAAGTCTGCTCGTTTTTCCATGTTTTTCTTTTCTAGTTTGACTATTTTTCACGTTAGTTGGCATCTAATAGTCTGTGGATATATGGCTGTACGCCTACGAATGGTGGTATAAAGGCACTAATAGCAAAGAAAACCTTTTATTTAGAGGCTTAACTCACAGGGCCTTCATCTAGAACCTCTGTAGGTGAAGCCTTGTTGAAATAAAAACTTCTTTCTTGCAATGTCTTCATACTGCCATCTAAGAGTGTAGCTGTGGAAGACTTTTTCTGATGTTATATGCTGTCTTGTACTTACAGCAGACCTTGTGTAGATAACAGGGACCGTAGTATATATATATATATATATATATATATATATATATATATATATATATATATATATATATATATATATATATATATATATATCAGAGTTCAAACCTTGTGGCCATGATAGCCGGAGATAAAAATAGCAGGAGATATGGCCAGAAAGTAATATACCTTAACACGGCCAATGTGAATATATTAATGCTATATTCTAATGATGTGGTACAAATAAAATTATTTGTCATTTGATTCACTTCAAGAATTGCAAAATGTTTTTGTAGCCAAATGTTTCAATACATGTATATATATATTTTAATTTATAGCTATTACTCGTGATTTTAATACTTTTAAAAAAATTTATTTGTATAGTATAAATATTAATTCAAAAAATATATGTACTATATATATATATATATATAATATATATATATATATATATATATATATATAATATATATATATATATATATATATATATATATATATATATATATATATAATTATAGCTCAAAGTACTGGAATATTAAAGATTGTGGTAACCTCCAGTAATATCTTAGATTTTCAAAGCAGGAAAAGCTCGACAGAATTACCAGGGGGATAAACCAGAAGAGTAGAAATAGTATTTCATGTTCGGTTACCACGATCCCCACAGCTCCTTCACGAGTAGCAGCGGCTGCCTATTATATGGATAAAGATACGGAAACTAACTCAAAGTTACTTTTCAGGATGCCTGTGTGTGTTTATGTCGCTTCTAGCTAGCTTCGTCTCTCCCACATGCATGCTGCAAAAACAAAATTATTATTCTCTCTCTCTCTCTCTCTCTCTCTCTCTCTCTCTCTCTCTCTCTCTCTCTCTCTCTCTCTCTCTCTCTCTCTCTTTCTTTCTTTCTTTAAGTCCGGTTTCTAAAAGCTTTTGAATCAGTTAAAGCAATTTTGAACCGCTAAAACCTTTTTTGAATCGTTGAAGACGTTAAAACCGTTAAGACCGTTGGAACCGTTAAGACCGTTGGAACCGTTAAGACCGTTGGAACCGTTAAGACCGTTGGAACCGTTAAGACCGTTGGAACCGTTAAGACCGTTGGAACCGTTAAGACCGTTGGAACCGTTAAGACCGTTGGAACCGTTAAGACCGTTATAACCGTTAAGACCGTTAAAACCCTTAACACCGTTAGAACCGTTAAATCCTACAGAGCCGTTTCAACCGTTAAAACCGTTAAATTCGTTAGAATCATTAAGTTTTTTAACTGTTAAAGACTTCTGAGCCGTTAAATCTGTTAAACTGTTAAAAATTTAGAACCGTTTAATCCGATGAAACTGTTAGAACCGTTCAAACCTTTAGAATTGTTCATGCTGTTAAGGCCATTAAAGCCAACAGTTAAAGCAGTTAGTTATTAAAATTGTTATGAACGGTAAAGCTGCTGAAGTCGTTAATCGTCAAAGCCGAAGGAACCGTTAACACTGTTAGCTTATAAGAACTAGAACCATTATAGCCGTTGTTAATCTTTAGAACCACTAAAAGCTGTTAAAACCTTTTTTATATGTAACTGTTAGAGCTAGTAATGCTGTTAGAACCTTTAAAGCCGTTAGATCCGTTGAAGCTGTTTAAACCGTAAAAATCATTAGAGCCGTTAAATCCGTTAAATCCGTTAGAACCGTTAAAACCGTTAGTGTTAAAGCCGTTAAAACCGTTAAAGTTATAAACGTTACTAACGGTTTCTGTGATTATGGTAGTTATGGTGGGGGTGGGGGTGTATGGGGGGTAGGAGAAGGGAGGAGATGACGAAGGGGTTAATAACTGAACTAATTAAATCTTAATTACCTTCAAGGCTTTTTTTCTAGTAAACGATTACTAGCGCATAATTGTAGAAGACACAGAACTTTGTGTATAGTCGTTGGTATTGCTACGGTAACTTACCAAGTTGTTAAACTCAAGTTTAAGCGATAGAAAAATAACTTGCACTTTTTTTAAACGTTTAAGTAGCATTTGAAAAATAAAATACGTTTTTTGAAACCTTAAGGTGTCCCGTAGCTCGATCGCTAGCGCACTCAACTCCCACACTGAGGTCCGGGGTTCGAATCTGCTCCGGTACGGCTGGAAGACATTAGGGACGTGTTTCCATGAGACACCTGCTGTCCCTGTTCACTCATCAGTTCAAAATGGGTACCTGGGTGTTAGTGGACTGGTGTGGGTCGCATCCTGGGACAAAACTGATCTAATTTGCGGGAAATGATCAGCACAACAAGCGGCTTTCTATATAGTAGTATGTTACACAAATAACCCGCACATGAAAGAGAGAAGCTTACGACGACGTTTCGGTCCGACTTGGACCATTTACAAAGTCACACTAACCAGAAGTGGGGCAGGACGGCTATATATAGGCAGGAAGAGGTGGTTAGTGTGACTTTGTAAATGGTCCAAGTCGGACCGAAAATCGTCGTAAGCTTCTCTCTTTTATGTGCGGGTTATTTGTGTATCGTTCCAGTCACGGTATTGTGCCTTCTTTTGTTATTTATAGTAGTATGTCACTGATGTCAGCTATGGTCTGTATACCTTGTACATGTACTGGTAGTAAATAAGGATATTTAGAATTTATTTATTAAGTAGCATTTTAAAAATAAATTTCACTTTTTTGGAGCTTTTAAGTAGCATTTGAAAAATGTTAAAGCGTTGAAATTTAATTCACGGGGTGTGTGAGAATTTATTAATCTCCTGCTGGTCTGGTATGATTTAGGACCAGTGGCGGACCTACACTGAGGCCCTGAAGTTTGAACTGTTATGGGGGCCCTTCGCAACCCTTTGTCATACAGTAGATTCAAGATATTTAAAGTGACTTCCGGGGCCCCCAGGATTAGGGGCCCTGAAGCTCAAGCTTTATTGGTTTCATAGGGGATCCGCCCCTGTCTAGGAGTGTGTGTTTATGTGCTCGCCGAGTTGTTTTCCGGATCGAGATTCAGCTCCTGGCCCCTCATTGTTGCCTTCGAGACAGCCGAGGTGAGGTGTGACACCCCAGTTTGTCCTAGCGTCCCTCAACAACATCTAAATATAAACTGATGCAGGTTTGAGTTTGACAGTGCCATCTTTGACAGTGCCGTCTTTGACAGTGCCGTCTTTGACAGTGCCGTCTTTGACAGTGCCGTCTTTGACAGTGCCGTCTTTGACAGTGCCGTCTTTGACAGTGCCGTCTTTGACAGTGCCGTCTTTGACAGTGCCGTCTTTGACAGTGCCGTCTTTGACAGTGCCATCTTTGACAGTGCCGTTTTTGACAGTGCCGTTTTTGACAGTGCCGTCTTTGACAGTGCCATCTTTGACAGTGCCGTTTTTGACAGTGCCGTTTTTGACAGTGCCGTCTTTGACAGTGCCATCTTTCACAGTGCCGTCTTTCACAGTGCCGTCTTTCACAGTGCCGTCTTTCACAGTGGCGTCTTTCACAGTGGCGTCTTTCACAGTGGCGTCTTTCACAGTGGCGTCTTTCACAGTGGCGTCTTTCACAGTGCCGTCTTTCACAGTGGCGTCTTTCACAGTGGCGTCTTTCACAGTGGCGTCTTTCACAGTGCCGTCTTTCACAGTGGCGTCTTTCACAGTGCCGTCTTTCACAGTGCCGTCTTTCACAGTGCCGTTTTTGACAGTGCCGTCTTTGACAGTGCCATCTTTCACAGTGCCGTCTTTCACAGTGCCGTCTTTCACAGTGCCGTCTTTCACAGTGGCGTCTTTCACAGTGCCGTCTTTCACAGTGCCGTCTTTCACAGTGCCGTCTTTCACAGTGGCGTCTTTCACAGTGCCGTCTTTCACAGTGGCGTCTTTCACAGTGGCGTCTTTCACAGTGGCGTCTTTCACAGTGGCGTCTTTCACAGTGGCGTCTTTCACAGTGGCGTCTTTCACAGTGCCATCTTTCACAGTGGCGTCTTTCACAGTGGCGTCTTTCACAGTGGCGTCTTTCACAGTGCCGTCTTTCACAGTGGCGTCTTTCACAGTGCCATCTTTCACAGTGGCGTCTTTCACAGTGGCGTCTTTCACAGTCACAAATATCTGCTTGTGAAGTTAATTCATACACTGAAATAACTTCACAAACATGTTAATAAATGTGTGGGAACTAGATAGTGATAGTGTTGTTCCCACAGTGGCAGGTACTGGAGGTGTTGTGAGGCAGGTGACAGGTACTGGAGGTGTTGTGAGGCAGGTGACAGGTACTGGAGGTGTGAGGCAGGTGACAGGTACTGGAGGTGTTGTGAGGCAGGTGGCAGGTACTGGAGGTGTTCTGAGGCAGGTGGCAGGTACTGGAGGTGTTGAGGCAGGTGGCAGGTACTGAAGGTGTTGTGAGGCAGGTGACAGGTACTGGAGGTGTTGTGAGGCAGGTGGCAGGTACTGGAGGTGTTGTGAGGCAGGTGACAGGTACTGGAGGTGTTGTGAGGCAGGTGGCAGGTACTGGAGGTGTTGTGAGGCAGGTGACAGGTACTGGAGGTGTTGTGAGGCAGGTGGCAGGTACTGGAGGTGTTGTGAGGCAGGTGACAGGTACTGGAGGTGTTGTGAGGCAGGTGACAGGTACTGGAGGTGTTGTGAGGCATGGTGACAGGTACTGGAGGTGTTGTGAGGCAGTGACAGGTACTGGAGGATGTTGTGAGGCAGGTGACAGGTACTGGAGGTCTTGTGAGGCAGGTGACAGGTACTGGAGGTGTTGTGAGGCAGGTGACAGGTAC